AAAGATTGGCGTTCATCTCACTTAGCTTTTGCCATGGAAACATAGGGACTCTAGTCTATACCAGACACTATAAGTTCCCAAGAGGCCATGTCACACCTCCAAAGGTCATGCCTTTTTAAGGCATGTTACAGGACAACCCATGCCCTGCAAATACCTCTCTTTCTCATTGGCTTGAGGGAGAAATTAGAAAGGAGTTTAGCTTGCATGCTTAACCATAAAGTGCCTACTGTTAGGTGGACTCTCAACTCCATACTTATGACAAATCCCTTGGTGTGTATTCATGTCCTACCTACAAATTTCCATTGACTATCCCTGGACATTGCTATGCTCTGCTCCAAGACTCACTCTGAGACAACAGGGATTCAGGTGCTTTGAAGGACTCCTTTCAGGGCAAGCTTGCAGATGACATCAATGAAGCCACCTGCAGTAGTGTGTTTAACCACTTGCTTCAATATCTGCAGGTGGCTCATTCTTATGTTATTTCATGGGGAGCTCTTCTCTTTTCTCTGTGCAGTTGCATAGGATTGCCAGAACCGTCCTCTGATAGTTGGATACTGCACCATTAAGACCTGCACCTTAACAGGAGATGACAGACATCCAATGGATTTGACTTCATTGCCTCTGCCTCTGCTCTAATGAACTGAAATAATGCTACAAGGGATCAGTCAATGTCTTTCAAAGCAGAGGTATGGAGAAAGGGTGCCGTTTCCAAAGCTCTCTGCAAGTGAATGAAAAATACTGCTGCCCATCATACTAAATTTATTAATGGGACATCAGTCAGAGGCCAGGAATGATATGAACCATGTCTTGTTTAATGCATGCAAGAGGTACCTAGGGTCAAACAGCAGTAAAAATAACTTTGGGCACGATATAAAAAAAGAGAATGACAAAAGATAACACAAAAGTTCTTGATTGATATTTGCTGAATTGAAATATGCCACAGAGAGAATGATGTCTTTTAAATTCAGAAGAAAAAATGATCTGACAGAAGATTACGAATGTGTAAATTTAAAATGATAGAGTGAAGGTCTAAAACTAAATGAAGACTTAATCTTCATGATGGATGTTACATCCACTGTAACATAATAAGATCCATAATTCTTCAGACAAGTCTTGGGGCTCCACTTATGCAGAAAAGGGATTTGGGGTCAGATTCTGAATTATAATGCTGTTATAAACTTAAGTTAATCAAAGATTAAAAGATTTTAAACCCAAAGAATTTCATAAAATAGAATCATAGAATTATAGAATCATTACAGTTGGAAAAGACCTCTAAGATCACCTAGTCCAACTGTCCACTTAACACCAATGTTGCCCACTAAACCATGTTCCTTAGTGCCACATCTTCATGTTCCTTGAACACCTCCAGGGATTCCACCACCTGGGCACCCCATTCACTCCTTTAGTGAAGAAGTTATTCCTACCATCCAACCTGCACCTCTTCTGATGCAACTTGAGGCCATTCCTTCTTGTCCTTTTGCTGTTATGTAGGAGCAGAGGCCGACCACCACCTCACCACAATCTCCTTTCAGGCAGCTGTAGAGAATGAAGTCTCCCCTGAGACTCCTCCAGACTGAACAATTCCAGTCGTACAGTTCTTTAAAGATAAGTCAATATTGGCATAAATCTTGCAATGATATTAACCACACAAATCATTCAGATAAATCTGAGAACCTTACTTAATGTCTGTGGATGGGCAGATTTGGCCCACCTATAGCTGACATCCTAAGTGTCAACTCTCAACTACTTCATAGAGCAGTGGAAAAATTAAAGGAAAGAAGAGTGGAAGGAATTTTCGAGCGCTGGAGGAGATGAGGTTCTCACTTTCATTGAGTGGGTCTTGGTTATTCCCATAACATATCATGGCTGAAGCCTAAAAAAAACCATCAGTGCCAGTTTTTTTTACTGCTAACTGCAGCATGGACAGTTTGCTTTTGCAGGGCACAAATCCCTCTTACAAATGTCACCTTCTATGTATTGAAAAGAAGCTAGAATATGCTGGTAAAGAGACAGCAAACAGTGCACTTTAATAGTGAAAGGAGCCAAAAATATTTTCATGCATCTCCTTCACATGGTACTGACGAATGTCATAAAATAATGAAAATCTTCTGGATTTGTGAGTAGCATAAAAATTTAATGTCAAATGACATCAGAACTATGATAGGCATTTTAAGGTTTCTAAATGCCGTCAGATATTTTATCCTTTATTTACCATGAGATATATTAGTCATTTGAAGAGCATATTTTCCACTGAGCAAGAAAATCACATTAACTCGTTGTTTCCCAAACTCACTCTTTTTTCTAGCTCTGAATTCAGAGATCTGTAACTGCTCACAACTTTGGTCTAAGCTTTCATGCTACTGCAAAGGGATCAAAAAGTAAGACATAAACATTTACTAGATGATTGATTTCCTTGGAAGTTATTCAGTGATATTCACTACTACAAAGGAAGAACTGCTCCACAAAATTTAATAACATTATTTTGCAAGAAATTCTGCAGAACAAGATGCAAACTTCCCTTCGCTTTAATTATGCTCATATCTGCTTTCCATCATTTGCATATGATTGTACAAAGTGCATAGCTCAGAGAAAAACAAATCATAGATTCATAGACTCACCAAGGTTGGAAAAGACCTCCAAGATCATCCAGTCCAACTGTCCACCTACCACCAATAGTTCTCACTAAACCATATCCCTCAACACAATTTCTATATGTTACTTGGAACCCCTCCAGGGTTGATGACTCCACCACTTCCCACAATATGAGGGTTCCTCTGTCCCTTGTCCACTATTAAGCTGTTGTTTTTGCTTTCAAAACAGCATCAGTTTCTTTGTGCACAGAGAGAGATGCTTACATATATTGTCTGCAAAGGCAGGATTCATTTGTGCTGCCACTACCACTCCACAGTCATTCAATTGCAAATGGAAAGAGGCTTTTTTAAGACGTTATTCAATTCATCTTAGTGTCTAAAGGTCACCTGAACAGGGCCTACTCCTCACCACTGTAAAACATGCTCAGTTGACTATGGAGGACCCTAAAATCAATATGAACGCTATTCCATGTTAGAAACAAGCTTCTTAAATACCAGTATCTTAGTGTCAGTTAAGCAACCTCACGGATTTCTTGGATCCCCTAAGGGTATCTGAAATGGCACTGGATGCCAGTTTAGGAAACTGAATGGCTTCCCTCAGCATCTATAAAGTAGGTGCCTATCTGTGAGTTTAGAGTCCAAAGAGCTGTTCACGCTTCTAAATACATGTCTGTTGGTGGCAATGACTAAAGTGCTGTTCAGAGGAAGTTCAGGTTGGATGTCAGGAAGAGATCCTGCCCCAGAGGATATTGGGCATGGCACAGCCCCCCAGGGCACTGGGCACAGCCTTGTGCTGTCAGGGCTTGTTGAGCATTGGGATGCTGCTTGCAGACGTACAGTTGGATTTTTGATAGGTCCTATATGGTGTCAGGGGTTGGACTCGATGACCCTTATGGGTCCCTTGCAACTTGGGACATTCTATGATTCTGTGATATGAATGGAATCCTATCTCATATAGAAACCTGCATTAGAAACAGCAGATATAAAGAACGCAGAATCTCCTTTCTCCAGTGAAGCAAGTCTCCATGTTTCACCTTACAAAATGAGGAGAAACAAGTATATTTTCATGATAGTGTTCATCTGGTCTCTTTAAGCAGCTGATTTATAATGAGTTTAATCATGTCTCAGCCATCGCTGACCAAACCAGTTAACTCTCCAGTGACTGGAAGATTTGGATGCCATACACACATGTATCTATATACGTATGCATGTATACGTGCATCATGCTTTCCTCATTGATCTGCTCTGGTGGAATGAAGTATGAGATAAACTTCTCAGGGAGGTCACAGCACTAGGATAAAAATCCAGGACTTTTGGTTTTCCCCACTGACTCTGCCCAGGATTTTGGTGTGGCTTTGGGCAAGTCACGTAATCTACGTGCCCTGGTTCAGTGTCATGTCCTGCTCTGTTAAACAGAGAAATTATTGTATCCTTACTCCTATTCATAGCCCATCACGTGTGTTTGCATTGTAACCCTGTGGAAGATTGGTGCATACTGTCCAGTGCCAAAATTCTTCTTTCTCTGTGGAGGATTGCAGAACTACTATAATAGAAATGGTAAATAATGACTACGAAGAGACAGAGAGTCCTGTTGCTGCACTGCCCCTGAGATCTGAGTTTTAAATTAAAGCTTCCCAGAATATGCTAACTTGTGCGTTAAGCTGATTTCTCCATTAACCTCTCCTGCTCATTGTTTGTCAGGTTAATTTCTTGGCTACTGATCAAGTTAGTCATTTCAGTGGAAAAAAACTTGATTACATAGTTTCAGCTTGCTTATTTTATGTCAGAGACCTAATTAATGACAACGCTAAGCTGTCCATTTTGAACAACAAACATACTATTACAGAAGTTGATTAAGCTTTTGCTGCACAATCTCTCAATTAGTGGATTTCACAGGAGCTGCTTTTGCACCCCTATGACACAGTGCACTGTGCTGGAAGAAGATGGGGAGGATGATCTAATGGTTTGGGTATCCATATACGGCTTGGAAACCTTTTTACTTCATGTAAATCCTTAGACCTACTGAGTCTGTTCTTCCCAGGAAGTTACCTCTTCTCCCAGATAAACAGCGATAGGTCAAGAGGGAATGGCTTTAAGTTGCACCAGGGGAAGTTCAGGTTGGATATAAGGAAGAATTTATTCTCTGAAAGAGTGGTAATGCTTTGGCACAGTCTGCTCAGGGAGGTGGTGGGGTCACCCTGGAGGTGTTGCAGAACGATGGAGATGTGGCTCTGGGGGATGTGCTTGGTGGCCATGGAAGGGCTGGGCCAAGGTTGGACTTGGCGACCTCAGAGGTCTTTTCGAAGCTTAACGATCTATGATTCTTAATGTGATTATACCCTTGATACAATGTGAAATCCTAGAGGCAATGAAGCCATAAAAACATTTCACCCAGACGAGCTTTCTTACCAAGAAAAGTGGTGAGGAACCTGAAGTACTTTGGGCATGGCTTCACCACAACCGCTCCCACCTGCGCTTCAGGCCAGCACGTGATGTTGTCCCACTGCCTTCTGCAACCTGGGGGAAGAGAAAAGCTGATGGTAGAACAAGCATGAATGAGTGACTCCCTGGTATCTGCTGTAAGGAGCATAGGAGAGCAACTCTGCACTGAGTCTCAGCAGAAGCATCTTTTAGTAGGGAGAGGAAGATGACATGAAGCCCCATCTGAGCTAGGAATGCAGGCGTAGCAAACAGAGCTAACTTTAGGGAAGAGCCTGATAATTTTATTGCAATTCAACATGATTTTTTGAATAGAATGAATACTTTCTGGGTAAAAATACAGCCAGGCATGCTCTTTCTGCACAGCTGCAATACACTGTTCTCATTTTGTCCTTTCATTTCTGCTTTCTCAAAATACATTAATGATATCACACATGTACCACAGGATTGAGTAATGCAGTATTAGTGCTGAAGACAACACACGTTTGCAGATAGGAATTAACAATGTCAGATGAGTTTCTGCCTCAATGTATTAAGAATTTTAAAGTTCATATCAGAATCTTGAAAACCTTATTTTTAATTTTTTTTTCCCCTCAATTTTCCACAGACAGACACTTTGATTACTGGTTGATAGATGGGTTGTCAACATACCTCCCTAAAAGTCACTTCTTTCTAGCACCTCTACTCCATGGTTGTCACATCCCATTACGTCGCAACGCTCCCCCAAATGTGACTGCAGTATTGCTGTTAAGGTCAACAGCCTAACAAGAGAAACTGGAATATGAAGAAGAAAGCCTGAAGAAAGTACTTTCCACATGCAAGTAAAGGGAACTATGAAAACCACTGCCAAGCTACACTTCTTAGTAATTATAGCCTGATCTGCAATTCCTCCTTTAAGTCATCTTTTAGCCCTTCTGCTGAGAAAAAGGCTGGTGTCATCATCAAGTCTGCTCAGAGCGAGGCAGCTTGCTGTCTCAGATCAATAAAGGGAGCACATAAAAATGCTTTGAAGCTGAAAAAAGAACTCTCAGCTCTCTTTCAAAGTTATTTCACAAGCTTTTCCTTCATTCTTTCATGAGCAAACCGAACTTTTCAGACAGAGTCCTAGGGTGAGTTTATCAGAGCCTAAAACACAGAATAACCAACGGTATCTTCTACATGCACGCTCTTCTGCAGCAGTCATTAAAATTCAATTTTCTGATTTGTAGTATCAGTTGCAATGCTCAGTTTTTCCATCATCATAGTTATCTGCTACCAAACAGCCAGCAGCTCCAATAACATTAAGACAGTAAGTATTCTGCCCTTGGAAAATAAATGATTTCTTGACAGGACCGTTCATGGTCTACAATCTTCACCTCCATCACCATCAATAAATTAACATGCACCCATTACCCCAGGACAGGTTATAATGCAAAATAATAATGAAATGCAAGGTGTTAGCATCAGACAGCTTTCTAAATGTTCTGAATTACGCGCTTTCAGAATTTTTCTGACCCCTGTCTTTTTTCTGTGATAGCATTCATCACTGCCACTTGTAACGCATGAAGAAATCTCACACGTGTTTTCATAACAGAAGCTCCCTGTGATTAAAATAAGGTGAAGACACACAGAATGGACCTTTAATAATTACTGCCTCTGAAATGATCTCCCTTACCCACCTATTAGCCCTATTAGCTCTTTTAGCATAATGTTTCTTACTGCATGATGCTATTAGCGTGGCTGCCTGGAAGGTCCAGGTTTCAAAGGTGGAGTTCATATCCCTATTTTCATGTCTGTAGTAGTTAGTTGTGCAAAGATGTCACCGTAGGATGGTTATCTGAAGAGCCAACAAATCATTCTTTGGAAGTGTCCTCTCCAATGAAGAGGGCTTGAATGAACAAACTGAGTTTAAATATCTCATTTTGAGGCACCTGAAGATCGGTGAGATACAATTCACTCATCATAGGTCTAAGGCAGAACAAAGCCTAAGTGATTTGAATAATTTATGATGATTTTATTTGAAATGCACACCAGAAAGAATAGACATTCACCTTTTAAATGAATTGTAACAATCTAAAGATCTGAGAATTGCAAGCTGCTTAGCACTGAGAAACACAAGCAATTACTGCATGCCCTGCAGTCAGTCCCTTACAGCATCAGGGAAAAGTCTGTGCCTGTCCAGGACACCAAAGCCTTAATGAAATAGCGTTAGAGAAAGTTGTCTTCTTTCTCTAAAACTTAGAGATCAGTATCTAAATGGGGGCTGTAAGAAGGAAGGGGACACTCTTAACCATGGTCTGCTATGATAGGACAAGGGAAAACAATTTCAAAGTAAAAAGGGGGAGATTAAGACTGGATATAGGGAAGAAGTTTTTTTTTACAATAAGAGTAAGCACTGACACAGGTTGTCCAGAGAGGTGATGGATGCTCGTCCCTGGACACAGTCAAGATCAGGGAATTGGGCTCTGAGCACCTGATTGAGCTGTGGGTGTCTCTGTTCATTGCAATGAACCTGATGGGCATTAAGGGTCCCTTCCATCTCAGACTGATTCTATGATTCAGTCATATCACTGACAGATCAGTATCTCAGAAAACTACTTCTGGATAGAATCAGCTGTAGTAGGACTTGGAGAAGGGAAATCCCTGTCTTCCCTGTGGCATCGCTTGGCTTTAATAGATGGAAGGAAGATGATAGTATGTTTTGCAGGACCAAATCATGTTTGGTGACATGTTTGGCTAAATGCTTCTCCATTAATTAATTATAAATATTGTTCTCTCAGTTGCATTGGATATCTACAGGAAGGATGAAAACTTATTTATCAGTCCTCTTCCATGGTAGCAATGACCCACGGATGCACCCTGTGGATGAGACCCATCCACTGTTAGGAGCTGTACAACATCATGATGAGCTATAGGGGCATCATGAGGAGCTATAGGGCAACAAGGACCTGTAGGGCCACCATGCTCAGTGCTCAGCAAACCCAGGGTCCTCAGCTGCTTCACACTATTTTGAGCACAGTCCTATCACCCAGGACAGAGATTTTGTCACAATTCATCATTAAAGCAGCAGTTTGGTTTGTATCTACGTGGGAGACCTCTGCAGAAGCCTTTACATTAGCAGGACAAGAGGCATATATTTGTGCCTTAGCACTTACTGCTGCCTTGGCAAACTGCACGCTTCTCCTGAGCTATGACTGAGTCCAAACTGGAAGTCTTTGAAGCACAATATTTTTCCAGAAGAAAAAAAGACAAAGAGATTTGGTTTCAGCCCAGATACTTCAAAATCATACTCCAACTTCAATGCAAGATGGCACTCTTCTTCCAAGGTCGCAGTCACCTGTATCCATGGGAGGGAAAAGGCATCAGTGCTTTAAAATCTCATGAAGTGCTCTCTGGAGCCAAAGATCTTTTTCTGGAGTGCTCCTTTACAACCCTAATGAAGCTGCCTTTTAAGCCTCCTTCAGATAAGCACCTCTAACTGCTCACCCTCCTCTATAAGCCATGCAATTAGCGTAATTGCTAGCAGCCAACTCTCTCCACCTTGAAGCAGGCTCCTAAAGCATTGCTGAAGGAGTACGGTCAAGGAACAAGCTGGAGGCTGTCAGCAATGTGCTGGAACTTGGATTTTCACATCCAACACTTTTGACTTCCCTCTTTGCAAGCCAAGTGTCTTGACTGTACCAGCCACAGCCCTCTGAGCTTTGGGGGGTAATAGAAGCTGATGTTGAGGTGGTGTCCACCATACAGTTCTTCTTGCTCTTGGCAGGCCAGGCCTGACTGCCACAACTATGGCCAGAGATGCTGACAGAGTCCATGCTGCAGCAGTGTAGGACAACCCAGCACAGCTACAGGTGGTGATAATCTTTCCCACTGTCACTCATAAATGTGGATCAAAGCTCAGGCCCTCATTTCCTCTGCCTTTAAAAGGTTAATAATCACAAAACATGGCAATTCATATCAGGCACAGATATATGGCAGTTTGCAGATCTGGCAGATTAGAGCTCAAAGAACATTTATTTGAGCTATATCTATGCTTACAGAAATTATACCTTCAAAGCTTATCTAGGAAGCAGTAGAGTATAACTTCCCCTTGTGAATAAAGATGAACCTCCAGAGCTCTGTCTTAGCTTTGAGATATGACTGGGTTTGGCTGAGGAATGAAATTAATGGCAGTAGGCTGCTTTCAGGGCATGGCCTTAACTCAGGTGAACTCACAAGTCAGAGAAAAAGCCCACAGCACATCTGGCATTCAGCACATCTGTCATTCACACTGAACATCTCCTAACAAATGCAATCACTTGTGGCCTCTTCTGCCCAAAAGTCCTCCGGAGTTTTGCTCTCCAACTCCACATTCAGATGTGAAGATACCCGTTTGTTGCCTGATAAACCTCGGGGAGCTCTTTTTCCTCTCACTACCTACATACGGATAACAGCAAGCCAAAGGCTAGGCTAAGCCAAGGTATCACCCAGTCCCATCACAGTGGTAACCTGGTGTGCTTTGAATAGAAACTCTTTTCACTCCACTTTGGTACCACCAGGAACTTTCCATCTTCCCAGAAGTTAGGGCTGTAAGTTAGCTGTCAGGTGACATTTACTCTCCCACTGACAGCCTGAGCAAGAAGTTACACCTACACTTTCTCTCCTGGTTTGTCCAGTTTGGTCTCAATATAACCAATCACCTTTGCACTGACTTTCTTGTCCCAGATGGGCATTAACTTTCTGCATGACTAAAGAAAACAAATCCCAAATGGTGGTCCCTGCAATAATCTGCTAAATACATGTCACTTCTCGATGGGAAACATGAATTCAGTCATGCAAGAGAACTGGAAAGCCCATCACAAGCTTCGAACTACTGCTACTATTGCCCCAGCCTCCAAAGAGCCCAGTCTTACTGAATCAGGGATGACTTTCAGTTTAAATTTTAGAAGTGGTACATAACAATAATACGAATCTAGAAAGATTCTTTTTCTTCCGTAGATCTTTTAAATTAATCGCAATTTGATTTTGCTTTTAAGCCTATGGAAATTTTTCACGTTCACAACCTCCTGGGCTAAGGAATTGCACAGCAGAAGAGTCTGCTAAAAGAACATCCTTTTCTG